AGAAGACTCAACACAATGGATTGACAGCAGTGACAGTAACAATGGGCCGGACTATGTCAGAGATGCCTGAATGGCACAGGCTAAGGCAAGGGTCAGATCTATTCATAAGGTCACTGTGAGTCATAGCACCTAATAACATACACGTCCGAAACACTAGAATAGTACCTAACATGTAATAGGAGTTACAGACTATCTTTTAAATCAATAAAGAGTACCTTTTTTATCTTCTTCTGTGGGATTTTTTGGCTGTGGTGTTTTGAAATTTTCGCCATCTTTCTTTGTTATTGTTGTTATGTGTCATCGAGTAGCCTGCAACCCAAATCAACCCTATGTACAGCAGCTCTGAACCCTGCCCTGTCCCAAGCCAGTCTCACTAATTCCAACACACCAACCCCCATTGCCCTAGTTACTGAATCAGTCCATCTCATCTGGGGTCTCTCTCCTGCGCTGGCCCTCCACCCTTCCGAGCATGATATCCTTCTCCAAAGACTGGTTTCTCCTGGCCACGTGCCCAAAGTATGTTAGATGGAACTTCAAAATCCTAGCCTCAGATTTTTATTTCACCCTCTCCAGGACAGACCTATTTGTTTTCTTTGCAAAGAGTCTTGTTCAAGACTCTTCTCCAGCACCTCAATTCCATCTTTAGTCATTGTCTAGCTCTCTGATGCATAACAAGTAATTTATGAAGACCATGGCATGGATTTGGCGCGCCATAGTCTCTTGACTGACATTGTTGTTTCTCAGTACTCAGGAAAGATCTCTGGCAGCAGATTTACCTAATGCGGTTTGTCTTTTTATTTCCTGACTTCTGGTGCCAAGAGTGCTGATTGCAGAGCTTGGTAAGCTAGAACTGTTAACAACCTCAGTCTCTTCTCCATCTATCATGGTGCTGCCAATTGGCCAGATTGGTGAGAATCTTTGTGTTCTTGATGTTGAGCTTCAATCCATATTGAAGACTACAGTACATGACCTTCTGCAGCAAGTGCTTCATGTCCTCCTCAGTTTTAGCAAGCAACGTTGTATCATCTGCTTAACGTAGGTTGTTGATAAGTCTTCCTCTAATCCTGATGCCACGTTCCTCTTCATAAAGCCCAGCCTCACGAATGATCTGTTTTGCATATAGATTGAAAAGGTATGGAGATAGACACATCCCTGATGCACTCTCTTACTGATTTTGAACCATGCAGTGTTTCCCTGCTCTGTTCTGAGGACTGCTTCCTGGTCCAAGTATAGGTTTTCCATAATCATAATCAAGTGTTATGGCTTAGAAAAGATTTTTGTTTTAGAGGAGTAAATATGAGCCTTGGATAGCAGAATCTCTCTTCTCTCCTTAAACCTTAGATCAGCTCCTTCTTCCTCATTCTCAGTTGAACACCTTGCTCCCTATTTCACTGTTAAAGCGAAGCAGTCAGGGAACATATACAAGCTCTCACTACACATCTACCTGGTTTCAGTGTCTGTACATGAGAACATTGCATTGCTGTTCTTTACAGCTCTAGTGATCTGTTGAGTAAGGAGTTGCACTACCAACATAAAGGCAGGTGGTTCAAATCCACCAGCTGTTCCACAGGAGAATGATGGGAAATCTCCAGTGTAGTTCATAGGTCTGAAAACCTTCGGGTCAGCTGTGAATCTATTCCAACTGTATGGCAGTGTTTAAAGATTCTTTGTTTTAGATGAAATCCCATTCTGTGTGAAGCTCAGCTTTTCCATTAGACCTCAACCCTTTATTCATGGATTTATTCAGCAAGTCTCACATCTCTTCTGTGTCATCAGCTTCTCTTCTCTCCTGGATCTATCCTGTGGCATTCAAACATGCTGGATTTGATGGTGTGGAGGGTTGTCTTAAGAAAACACTCTTTCCATTTAGCAGCTCCCTCATTTTTGCACTTTGCAAGAAAACTGCACTTGATACCTTCTATTCCTCTCTTACCATTCTTTTTTTTTTTTTTTAGTTTTATTTTTTTATTATTATTCATTTTAATGAAAATTTACAGAGACTTTGGATTTCCATTCATTCACTGATGCATTTTTCTCCCTGCCCACCCCTCCCCCTCCAGTACACTCTTCTCTTTGAAAAGTAAAAGAACAATTCTCTCATTGATATGCAATCCCTTCCCACAAGTCCACTCCACTATGCAGCCTTTTTCTGGACTCCTGTCATGACAATAAAACCTAATTACATATCCCTTTTAAACAGTTTCTCCCTCATCTGTTTCAATGAAGTATACATTATTTATCCCATCTTTCTCAGTCTCCCCCAACCCTGATGTCAGTTCCGTTTTACAACAGTGGCACTATGCAGTATTTGTCCTTTTATGACGGAGATATTTCACTCAGCATAATGTCCTCCAGGGTCACCCATTTTGAATAATATTTCATGAGTTCCTTGTTTTTCAGTGCAGCATAGTATTCCATTGTGTGAATATACCCCAGCTTCTCTATCCATTCGTTTGTTGATGGACACTTGGGTTGTTTCCAGCTCTTTGCTATTGTGAACAAAGCCGCCATAAACATGGTGTGCATCTCTCTTACCATTCTTAAACCCAGTCCAACTTTTCATCCTCCCTTCAACCCCCAGCTATCCACCAACACTGCTCTTGAGGTTTCAAATTCATTGGTCAGTTTTCAGTTCTCAGCTTAGTTGACTGAGCATTTGACACTATTGGTTCTTGTTTGTTGTTAATCTGCCAATGAGTCACCTGCAACTTTATGTACAGTAGTTTGGAACCTTGCCCAATCATGAGCCAGTCTCATTGTCTCTGACATAGATGTCCCTATTGCTATAGTCACTGCATCAGTCCAGTTCTCCAGGGTCTTCCTCACTTATACTGTCCCTCCACCCTTCTAAGCATGATGTCCTTCTCCAAGGACTTCTGGCAACTTGTCAAAAGTATGTAAGACAGAACTTTAAAATACTTGCTTCCAAGGAGAAACTTGGTCTCTCCTTCTCTAGGACAGACCTCTTTATTCTCTTGGCAGTCCATGGTATGTTCAATACTCTTCACACAACATCTCAAAGGCATTGATTGTTCTTCTGTCATCCTTAGTCATTGTCCAACTTTCTGATGCATAGCAAGTAATTGCTATGCATCCAGGAGACCCTGGACTGGATCAGGCACACTTTAGTCTGTAGACTCACTTCATTGCTAGTCAGCATTCTGGAGAGGTCCCTTACAGCAGATTTTCCTAATACAATTTGTCTTTTTGTTTCCTGAGGGCTGGTGCCAAGATTGTGAAACCAAGTAGCTGAAATTGGACACTGTTGGTTACTGTTACCTTGATTTACTGTTTCTTGGTTTCCTGGAATACTTGCTCTTGGTTTTCCTTTTTTTCCTTCTCCACCTATAACATAGCTTAGTCTTTGGTTGTCTTCATTTATAATTATGCACATCTCAGCGGTAAGAAATCTTGGGGATTTGTGCTGCAAATGTAGTATCTATGGTTATGGGGATATTTAGTGTTGTAGGCAGTACACTTCTTTTGGTGGCTTAATCCACTAGTTCCTCCATAGGAAAAAGATGGGTAATCTCCTTCTGTGCAGTTTACACCCTCCCCAAAACCACTGGAGGGGAGAGTCAGCTATGAGTTGGTGCTGACTCCATGGCAGTCTCTTTATGTACTGTCAAGTTAGAACTGACTCATGGCTGATCCTTCAAGTTTTCAGAGACAATAAATCACATAGCAGGAGATTGTCTGTCTTTCGCAGCTGTTAGATTCAACTATATACCTTTGGCTTGGTAGCACATCTCCTTGCCACTAAGCCACCAGAGCTTGTTGCTCAACAGCAATGAGAGAGGGGAAAATAATATTTATAATTTATATCTCCATCTAGTCTAGACCTCTCTATTCATTTATCCAACTGTCTGCTTGACTTCTTTCACATTAAAAAAAACTGAACTCTTCATTGTCTTTGCCTAAGGTCATGGCTGTATTACTCTGAGTTGCTCAGGCTAGAAGCTGTGAAGATATCTCTGACTTCTGTCTTTTTCACAAATGCCATTATTTTGTCAGAAAATCATGTTGACTTTGCTTTCAAAATAATGTGAAAAATCTATTTCTCCCATCTCCTATATTACTTCCTTGATCTGAGCAACCACCTTGCCTGATCTCCCTGCTTCCAACCTTGATCCCCTCCAAACTATTCAGTACAATATCCATATGATTGTTTTAAAATGTATCAGATCTTATGCTATAAACTTTGCAGTGAATCCCTTATTTTACTCAGATTCCAGAGTCCTTACAATGACCTGATCTGCCTGCTTCCCCGATTAGCTACTCTGACTTAACTCTTATCTTGTTCATTCTCTGAGCCTCTTTCCATGGAGGACCTTTCCCTACGCTTGAAGATTCTTCCCTAAATAGCTGCCTGATACATGTCTTCATCCTCCACAAGCCTTTGCTTAGCAATCACCTGTGAGTATTCCAGTCCATTGCTTGTATTTTAAATTTCTCCTCTAGTTCCCAGCTCCTTTGCCCTGCTTGGGATTTGATTTTTGTTGTTGTTGTTTTGGTTTGGTTTTTTTCCAGTATCTGGTTTCTAGTGTTTGTCTTCCTCCGCTGAAATGTAATCTTAATGGAGCTTTTTTGTACATTTGTCCTCTAATATATCCAAGTGCCCAGAACTGAACCTAGCACATAATGGTCTTTGAGAGATATTTGTTGAATGAATTAACTGGAAATACAGAGAAACTTTAATGGCCTGGTGCTCTTTGAAGGCAAAGCTGAGCTGGGATCTGGCCTTGGAGGGCAGAAGCAAATAGAGAGGATGGTGAATGAGGTTAAGATAAAGTGAAATGTTTCTATCTTTGTTTGCCTTCTCAGAACTTGAGAATGAGAACATCTCTTAATTACTATGAACACAGTTTATATTTTATATGCTCTCATGAATAAGAAAATACTAAAGAGTATTTTCAATAAAGAAAAATTAATATATTCTTGTTTAAACTTAAGCAGTTTTCTTTCCTTTGCTTACAGTACACTAAAACCAGGAAAAGAACATGGAGGAAGATAAAATAGCGGCTCTTCGATCCAAGCTCAGAGAGGTTGAGGATGAGCGACTGAAAGCTGCACAGTATGGTTTACAACTAGTGGAGAGCCAAAATGAGCTGCAGAACCAGCTGGATAAGTGTCGTAATGAAATGATGACCATGACTGAGGTAGGACTCTGTACTCCCATCTGAAAGGTTGTACATAGCTTTTGAATGAATATTTGTCCTGTCTGGTGATTATTAATGTTACCATATTCTCTTCTGAAGATTTTCATCTAGATGCTACCCATTGCCCAGGCGAGAACTATCTGAGAATGACCTAAAAGGGAATGCGCCGAGTGAAGTCTAATACTCTTTCCATTTGCTGTCTCTGACTTGGAAAAATTCTTTGTATAATTGTGCTCCTTATACCATGTAATAGAGCTTAGATTTTATTTTGTGTCTTTGTTCCTCTTAAGTGAACTCATGTTGTTTTGTAACTTTAAACAACGTCCAAGTAATTTACGACACTCAGGTCTTACCAAACCTTATTTCTCCCCTAAAGCCCAGACTTAGGTATTCAACTGCCTGCTAGTGGCCACTTAGACTTAGCAAAAACAGATAAAATAATTGACTCCCTGTTTATTAACCAATGTCTTTTGTTTTGTTTTGGTTTTGTTTTTTAACCAATGTCTTATAGTTTTGTGTTATTTACTTAGCAGTTTTTACAGCATTTATTAGGTTCTCTGAGTCAAAACTGTAGGAGTTTAATTAATATTATCTTTTCCTCTGTTTCTTAGTTTAATCTGTCAACAAATACAATATTTTTTTTTTTTCATTTTCGTCCATTCCTCTAATTCTTTATTTTGTTTAGAGCTACAGAAAGAACATCTCAGTGTTAGATCAAATAATTCTTACTAGGAAACCTAACTGCTATTAAATAATTTTTTCCACATAGAAGAGATTATTTGATACATTGACATGCTAGTAGTATTTTTCACTTCCTTGATAGGGCATAGAAACAATTAATGTATTCTTAATGTGGACTTAAATGCCGTTTCAAGATATTCCTTAGAGTTTTATTAAGACTGATAAACCATAAAATCCTTTTATAGTTGGTATATGGTTGTTCTTGAACTTTAGCAAATATGTGAAATTAGGAATAAAGTAGTTCTAAGTAAGAACTGCTTGTATATGATGGCATTGAGCTATATTTATGTAATTGAATTGTAGTTTCATCTTTCATCTGTTTGCAGAATTATGAACAAGAAAAATACACTCTTCAGAGAGAAGTTGAACTCAAGAGTCGGATGTTAGAAAGTTTGAATTCTGAATGTGAAGCTATAAAACACCAACAGAAAATTCATTTGGAACAATTAGAAGAACAGCTGAACAGACGCCATGGGCAGGAAGTGAATGAGCTAAAAAACAAGGTTTGAAGATCTTATTTATTTGAGAGGAAAAATGTTCCATGTTTACATAACCAGCTGTACATTTTAGGTGATGACTATTACCTGCATAAAATAATGCAGTCAGATTCTGCAGTGTCTTACTATTGGGGGCTGTGTTGGTGTTGTTGCTGTTAGGTGCTTTTCAATCTGTACAACTCATAGTGACCCTCTGAATAACAGATTTGAGCCCTGCACCATCCTCTCTAGCTCTGATGTGCTTGAATCTATTATTAGAGCCGCTCTGTGAGTCTTCCTCCCTGAGAGTCTGCCTTTCTTTTACTGACCCTCCCTTTCCAAGCATGATGTCCTTTTCCAAGGAGTGGCCCTTTCTAATAGCCTTCCCAAAGTACATAGTGCTCCTTGGAGGCAGGTATTGTAAATCTTTGTCTCACGTACTGCAGGCTAGGAGATGTCCTTATAGAGGGACATCATGCTTGGAAAGGTGGAGGGTCAACAAAAGAGAGGGAGGCCCTCAACCAGTTGGATTGACACAGTGACTGCTGCAATGGCATTGATGTGTCAGGAAGTGTGAAGATGGTGCAAGATAGGACAGCATTTGGTTCTGTTTATAGTGTCACTACATGTCATACTCAACTTGATGGCACCTAACAACAACGTGCAAAAAAGCTTCTAAGGAGCACTTTGGTTTTACTTTCTCTAAGACATACTTGTTTGTTCTCTTGCAATCCATGGGATATTCTGTACTTTTCACCAGCACCACAACTCGAAGACATTGATGATTTTTCTGTTTTCCTTATTCATTGTCTAGTATGCAGATGCGTAGCAAGTAATTAAAAAGACCATCAGTTAGGTCATGACTAAGGTGCACCTTAGTCTTTAAACTGGCATCCTTGCTCATTAATGCTGTGGAGAGGTCCTTGGAAGCAGACTTTCTCAATGCAACACATCTTCTGATTGTGGATCCAAGCAAGATGAAATTATTGACAATGTCATTCTTTTATCTATCGTGATGTTGCCTGTTGGCCCAGCGGTGAGGATTTTTGGTTTGTTTTTTTTTTGATAATGCAATATAATCCATATTGAAGGTTGCAGTATTTGATATTTTGCAGCAACTGTTTAAGTTCTTTTCATGGAATGAACACTGAAAACAAAAGTTTACCTAAGGGATTACTATAAATAGTATCAAATAATTAAACATAATTATCTAATTTGGGAGATGAATGTTGTGATTTAATACTAATTGTATAGTCCTGGATAGTGTCCAGAAAGGCCTCTTTTTAATACTTAATAAACCCTTCCATTTGACATTAAGACTAGTCTCAAGTGTAGCAGGGATTTATCCTTTCTCCATACCTTTTCAGTCTATATGCTGAACAGGTCATGCAAGAATCTGGACTTTACAAAGAAGGATGTGGCATCAGGAGTGGAGGAAGATTCATCAACAATCTGTGTTATGCAGATTCCACAACATTACTGAAAGTGATGAAGACTTGAAGCACTTTCTACAGAAGATCAATGACTACAGTCTTCAATATGGATTGCATCTCAACATCAAGAAAACAAAAACCCTCATCACCAGCCCAACAGATAGCATCATGGTAGATAGAGAAAGTATGGAAGTTGTTACTGATTTTGTTTTACTTGCATCCATAATCAATACCTTGGCACCAGTAGACAGGAAATCAGAAGACGAGGTACGTTGGGAAAGTCCAGAGTGCTAAAGAACAAGGATGCCATTTAGAGAATAAGTTGCGCTACATCCAGGCCATGGTCTTCTCAATTGCTTGCTTTGCATCTGAAAGCTGCAGTGACTAAAGATGAAAGAATAAGAATTGATGCCTTTGAGTAACAGTGCTTGAAATGAGTATCAGATATCCCATTGACTGCCAAGAGTATAAACAGGTCAGTCCTGGAGAAAGTGAAACCAGAATACTTCTTGGAGGCAAGAATGGTGAAATTCTGTCTCACTTATATTGAGTATATTGTCAAGAGAAGCTAGTCCTTGGAGAAGAACATCATGCTTGGAAGGGTAGAAAGTTAGCTTAAAAAAGGAAGGCCCTCAATGAAATGGATTAACACAGTGACTATGGCACTGGATCAGGTGTGTTGGAATTGGATAGGGCAGAGTTCTGAGCTGATGTTCATAGGGTCAACATGAGTTGTAATCGTTTTGATGGCACATAACAATAACCTACTTTCTACTTCATACTTTTCAGTGCCCCAAAAGAAAACAGTAAATTTTTGAGAGTTAATGAATTTACACATTCTCATTTATTTGTTGAGGGTGAGCTAACACATATGATAATCCTATTTTCATTGCCATTCTAAGCTTACAGTCATTATTGTTGAGTTAGAATCTGCTCATGGCTTACCCTCCATTGGTTTTCTAAGGCTGTATATTGCATGATTGGAGATTGCCCAACTTTCTCTGAAGTAAAATCCTAGAGAGATGGCCTTTGGATTAGCAGCACAGCTCCCACTACAGGGACATAATCATTATCTCCAGATAACTAGTGAGAAAACCAGTGTTCAAACCAACTGGCCAAAATGACAGAAATTTCTCACCAAGATTTGAATTGAAGTGAGTTTAAACAAAGCCTATATTACTGAACCTCTCTACTTAATCTAAAGCTACATCATATTGACTCTACTTCAAACATACGTGCAAAATACAGTGTTTGTTCAGTGATTACTAATTTCCTATTGACCCTGCAACTACCTAGCACCTGCAGTGGCTTCTGTAGAATCTGGACCTTATGTCATGGCTGCTCTTGAGACAGAAGCAAAGTGCTGACCTAAGCAGACTCCACTCTAGTGGAAGTTAGTATATTTCTGTCTTTTTTTCCAAGAAGTCTCTTTTCCAGCTGTCAGGTTTTTGCCTAGTACATTCCAAGACTTCCGCATCTGTGTTGTTGTATACTCTTGAGTCAGAACCAATCCAAATCTGCAAACCACCAATATTATTACCTAATTTCTCATTAAACTAGCTCACTTTTAAAGTATTTTTTCATCATAAAGACTGAAATTTCATATTTGATCAAGTTGTAATTTTTTTCATGTAAGACTTGTAGCTGTCCTGTCTATACCAAAGCATTCTGATGTAATCTAGCTGGTCTGCAACATATATCAGTTGTAACACTAATGACTGACAATAGTACATTATATTTTTTTTTTTCTGGATAACATTTTCATTTTGTCAGTAACTATCATCTAAGAAAAAAGAGTAATATCAGAAATTTTCTGAAGCTACGCCAAGGCTTTGTATTACTTTTTTTGGTAGAGAAAAGAATCAGTCCATCAAAAAAAAATCTCTTCAGTTCTGTTCTCAAATCACTCATGTGTTAGCTGCCTATTCTGGTTGCTTTTGTGGATTATTTGTGTGTTCATAAAACAGGGCCTGCTACTATCTGTTAAAAGGGTCCTGTTGTTGGTAGTGGTTGCTGTAGAGTGGATTACAACTCATGGCAGCCCTCTGGTGCAGAGTGAAACTACTCTGTAGGGTTTTAAGGCTGTGGTATTTGAAAGCAAATTGCTAAACCTCTCTTCCATGGCACAGCTGAGTGGGCTTTAACTGCTTTGCTTTCAGTTGGTCATTTAGCACTTCACTATTTATACCACTCGTGAACTCCAAAACATACCAGCGACTGTTGTTATGTGCCATCAAGTCAGAACCGACTCATAGCTGACCCTCCACTGGGTTTTCAGAAACTAAAATGTATGAGAGATTGCCCTTCCTTCTCCCTTGGAGCAGCGAGTGGGTTAGAAACTCCTGTCTTTACCCACTAGGCCACCAGAACTCCCTAACAGATGCTTAGCCAGCCTTAGCGGAATAGAAAAATTCGTTCAACTCATCCTGCAGTACATTTGCATCAATCAGGATGTTTTTCAAAGAAACATAATGATTTCTTGTGTAAGTCATTCAGGAAAAATTTTATTTCACATTGTGAAAACTGAAGAGGGAAAAGAAATCCCACTAGGATACTTTTGTCTTTTTAAAATAGGAAATAAATGTCAGGATGTGTTCCTAGACATGTTGAGGCCCTATTGAATATAATTCAGAATATAGATGATAGTACCCCTAGGCTTCAAGACAACTTTTTCTAGATAACACTTACCACTTAATGACTACTAGGCATTGTGCAGCATTATTTTGCCATCTGGTGTCATTTGAGCTACACATTTAACCAGTAATGGTAATCTTGTTTACTTAAGCTGTTTTCCATAGGAGAAATGAAGCTTAGGCAGGCCAGTTAGTTCCCCAAGGAAGAATTCAAACCTAGCACCAACCCTAAGGTTATACACCTCTGTTACACTTTTGTTCCCTTTAAGATCTTTGCTTGGAAAAGTAGAAGGTCATCAAAACAGACTTTCAAGAAGATGAATTTGACATTGTGACTTCAACAATGGCCTTGAGCATGGTGGATATTGTAAGGATGCAAGATGTTGTTGTTAAGTGCCATTGAGTTGCAGGCGACTCCTAGCAACCCTCTGAAGGAGAGTCCTCGAGCTTGGGTGCCTTTGATCCTCTCTCCAGGTTCATAGGGTTTCCTGAGGCAAGCTATTATGGAAGTGGACGCCACTCCTCCTTCCAAGCTTGTTTAATCAGGGAGCTCCACCCCACTCTCAGTCTGCATTGGGTAGCCAGCCATTAATGCATTTGACACATTCTTGTCACAGTGTTCAGCCTCACAGCAACCACAAGTGGCCGTGGGTCGGCAACTTGTACACCAGGGCTATACGACCTAGAGGAATGTCTGAACAAAACAATGAAAGACTG